AGGCGCCCGGGAGAGGCAGGCTCCGTCCGGGTGTGGGGACAGTTGGAGTGGGCAGCGAGCGCCTGGGTGTTCAGCAGGGGCTGGATCTGCAGCTTAGGGAGAGGCGTGTGTGGAAGGACAGCCTAGCTGATGCAGGAGGAAGCCGAGGTGGAAGTAGAAGGCACTGTTCTTACACTTTGATTTCGACAGAACCAAGTGAATCGTTCTCAATTCTTAAAAGGAGGAATTAAGCCATCTTGCCTGTAGTCCCAGCTCCTTGGGTGGCTGAGGTGGGAGGATCGCTTGAGTCCACGTACTTGAGGCCAGCCTGGACGGACAGTAATACTGAGACCCCGTCTCAGAGAGAGAATGTTATTGAAGGTCCTAGGAGTGTTCCTAGGATGTTCCCACCACTGCCTTGAAGGAACTGTCAAGAACCAGAGATAGAATTAGTGTGGCTCTGGCCTCCCAAGGGCAGGAGGCCGTTTGTAGCATTAAGGGTGACTAAAATGGGGCGGCGGGAGAAGGCTGCGTTCAGAGCTGTGACTCTGGGAAGGAAGGAGTAGGATCGTGATTTAGAGTTTTGAGACATGTAGCATTGCTTAGCACTTGAGCATAGCATTTTTTCTGAGTGTTACAGTGTTTTTCTCAACACTCATATTGTACTTAGTTTTTTTCATGAATCCTGCTGGATGGGAAAATTGGTTATTAGAAAGCACGTATTTTTGTGGAGTGTTAGAACTGTTTGTTTATTGAGCACCTATTAATGCCAAACGTGGAACTGGGCCTGGGAATCAGTACTACGGAAAGGCCACCACCTCATATTCTTCCTGATTGTGGAAGCTGTAGAAGGGTGGATCTTTGTCCCCTGAGCCAGGTGTAAGGATACAGTCTAGTCATTAAAAGGAACATGGAATCTGTGAAATTGGATTTTTTTTTTTTTGAGTCAGGGTCGTACTATGTGACTTAAGGCCATTCTCCTGCCTCAGCCTCCCAAGTGCTGGGGTTACAGGCGTACACCACCACGCCTAGCTCATGATGATGCTCTTTGAACATAAAAAATATTTGTCTTATTTTGATGGTAATTTTTAATCAAGAGTTTGTTTGGATATAAATAAGACTCTATTCCTTTATAAAATACCATTAGCTTAAAATTTTGTTCTGATTTGGTCTTTTTTTTTCCTTACGAAGAACAGCTGTCATAGCGGCGATTTTTTGCTTTATCTTTATATCAGACATTCATTATTGATACACATTACTTCTGGGGTATAATAGACTTTGTTAAGTTTTTCAAAACAGCAAGGGTAAGATCTCATGGGGTGTTTTACAATTTATTTCTTTTTGCATTTTCTTGTAATGATTCTGTAGTCCATTTCAAAATCTCAGTAAGCTGAGCACGATGGCGCATGCCTGTAATCCCAGCACTTGGGCGGCTGAGGTAGGACCATTGCTGTGAGTTTAAGGCCAATTTGGTCTACATAGTGAGAGTTCAAGGCCGGCTTGAACTACACAGCAAGACCCTGTCTCAAAAAACCAATGGAATAAGAAATAAAAAAAAGAAAACCCTCAGTAAATCTAGGTAAATTTACCTGGGTATTGGCCTGATGGCTCACAATTCAGCATTAGTCGACTCAGCAATGCACAGGGAAGACATTAAAGACAGGAGCTCTAGGGTTTATGGCAGACAGTTTGGAAACAGACACTGGGTAAAAAAGAGAGACATGAAAGGTGTGGCCATGTAGGGAAGGTCAAAGAATAAGGGGGTTTCTGTTAAATGGGCAGAAAGAAGAGGGGTTTGAGTAACCGTGAGCAAGGATTCGCTGCGAGTCTCCTCTTACCGATTCTGGGCTCGGGACTGTGGTGGCTCCTGCCCTTTCTGTGGTTCATTCTCCTTCTCTTTGTCAGGGAACGCGCTCCACCCTCCCCAAATCAGCTTTTAGTTTTTTGCCTTTTTTTTTGGTACTGGGGCTCGAACTCGGGACCTTGTGCTTGTGAGGCAGGTGGCGGCAGCACTGAGCTACATCCCTGGCCCTCAGCTCTTAATTTTTAAAATCTTGTGTTTGCACGTTCTCTTTCTTCATAATACTTACTACTTTTTCAGTACTTGTTTACTTCTTTGCAGAAAGTTTTTCCTTTTTTGGTTTTTGAGATGTGGTTGAGACTGACCTGGAGCTCACTATGTGGCTCAGGCTGGTCCCGAACTCACAGCGACCCTCCTGCCTCAGCCTCCCTAGTGCAGGGATTCCAGGCATGCGCTACCACACCTGGCCAAATTTTTCCTTTTGCAGTCCTGGGGGTGGGGGTGAAGGTGGAGAGCCGGTTGCCCTAGTTAGTGCTTGACATGTGGTAAACATTGAACGTTTGTTGAATGAATCAGTGAGCTACATCTTTTGATCTTTACTAGTCCTTCTGGAGGACCAAAGAACTACATCCAGGGGACATCTGCATGTGAGTAAGAGCTGAACAGGGAGCGTGGGAGTCTTGAGGGAAAAGGAAAAGGCCATGGTTTTTAAAGGAGAGAGGATAGGAGAGCACTGTGTACTTAGAGAAAGAGGCTGCTTCATGTTGGGAACTAGATATGAGAACGTGGAAAGACCGCCTCCTAGGGTAAAGAAGGACATAATTCTAGCAGTTTATTGCCCTTAGTGGTCATCGAAACATTTAAATTATGGAGCGGGATGAGTTTGAATATTCGTCATTATTCCTCCTCAGCACCATGAAGGTCTCCCAGCAGTTATAACTGGAATGTAATCCAGTGTTTCCAGTGGTTGGGTGCTTATTTAAAATAAGCTCTAGCTTTGAGTTCATTTAAAAAGTGACGAGTGAAAAAAGTAGTTTGGAGGCTTCTTGGTTTTAACTGTTGAAGCTTGGAGGACGGAACAGTGATGCTTGAGGGAGAGTTTGTTGGATGGACAGGTTTTCAGAAAAACAGTTTTTAAAGAAAAGTGAATCTTGTAACCATGGAAAATTATGAAGCTGTTCATCTTGTGAAATGAATGAGTTTAAAAAATTTCAAAGATATTTGTTGCACCCAATTTTTTGTCTTTTGTTGGTGACTCGTTTCTGTAGTATTTGGAAAGCAGCTATTGAGAGAATTTATTGATCGTCTCCTCTTGGCATCCAGCCGGACTCTGGGCCTCTGGGCCCTGGAGACCAAGAGGTGAGGCAGGGGATGTGCATGGGCTCTGCCCTCACAGAGCTTTCCTGTTTCAGGTCCCTGGAGAGAGGAGCAGGAGAGAAAGGGGACTTGTG